AGTGCTGGGATTACAGGTGTGAGCCACCGCACCCGGCCAGAGTGTCATTGTTTTCTATTTTGGCGATTCTTTTAATATCTGGCTGGATTCTCATATCTCTTTCTGTGTTCCATCAGGTGTGCTATTACAAAAGCAGGTACTGTCTGGAACTCTACTGAAATACGAGTGACAGGTGTGGGGAAGAAAGTGGCACAAAGCAAGTAACATCTTAGTATTGTTATAAAAATAGTTTGACCATATGGATCTTCTGAAAGGGTCCCGGGTACCTCTTCTGGGGTCCCCCAAGCATGCTTTTAGAATCACTGGACTAGTAATAAGAGACTGTAATTCTAGCTTGTTTTTTTGCGGTGATTATAAATAATCGGAATAGAGGGTAGGGTTTTTTGTTTTTTTTTTTGTTGTTTTTTTTTTTTGAGATGGGGTCTCGCTCTATCGCCCAGGCTGGAGTGCAGAGGTGTGATCTCGGCTCACCACAACCTCCGTCTCCTGGATTCAAGCAATTCTCCTGCCTCAGCCTCCTTCATAGCTGGAAGTACAGGTGCCTGCCAACATGGCTGGCTAATTATTTTTGTATTTTTAGTAGAGACGAAGTTTCACCATGTTGGCCAGGCTGGTCTTGAACTCCTGACCTCAAGTGATCTGCCCACCTCGGCCTCCCAAAGTGCTGGGATTACAGGCATGAGCCACTGCACCTGGCTGAGGATAAGCATTCTTTTAAGAAGGACTGATGGCTCTAATATAAAACAGTTTAAAAACGATTATTCAGATTTAGCAATAATTTTTTCCTAAGTGATTTTTTTAAAAAATACTTTTCTATTATACTCAGCCATCCAAGTAAACAGGTATTATTTAAAAATCAAGGTAACACTCAACCTGTCAAATAGGTACATTGTCAACTTTCCCTTTAGAATCAACTTTTATTTAACTATTTAGAATACAGCTTAACATATGCTGATTGGGTTGAATTGCGTTTATTTTTGGAGTGTGTGTGTCTCTTCTAGGCAGAGTGCATACTGTCTAGTATTAGATGTGGGTGGTTTTTAAAGGAATTAGCATAACGCAGTCACTGATCTGATTCTTATCTCATTTGGAGATGGTGTAGAGGTCGTTGATAGGCCAAATGTAAGAGTGCACAGAGAAGTAAAAAATGAAAGATAGCTTCTTTAATTGCTTAAGTTGCTTGGGCAACTGTGAAAATGAAAGGGCTATTAACAAAAATAGAGCAAAAAGAAGTGCCAGTTTGGAATAAAGATGGTAAGTTCAGTTTTGGGCTGGAAATGTGGGGTAGCTCAGGAGAGGAGCCAGCATGTGACAGGACTGAGAGAATTGTTCACATAGGAGTCAAAACATTTCCAAGGAAAACAGTGTAGAGAGAGCGTGAAACTGATAAAAAAAAACTATCTATGAAGATTACTTCAATTTGGGTTGGGGAAGAAAAGTTGAAGAAAAGGAAGTTAATACAGGAGAAGAGGGCTTAAGAGAGCTAAGAAGAAGGGTGGGTGGTCAGCCGCATCAGTCAATTACTGTATTGAGATCGACGAATGATAATGGGTTCTTTTTTGAGATAGAGTCTCACTCTGTCGCCAGGCTATGTATTCCAGGAGAGCAGTCTCAGCTCACTGCAACCTCCACCTCCCAGAGATTCTCTTGTGTCTCAGCCTCTCGAGTAGCTGAGATTACAGGCGTGCACCACCATGCCCAGCTAATTTTTTGTGTTTTTGGTAGAGACAGGGTTTCACCATGTTGGCTAGGCTGGTCCCGAACTCCTGGTCTCAAGTGATCCACTCATCTCGGCCTCCCAAAGTGCTAGGATTACAGGCCTGAGCCACCGTGCCCAGCTGATAATTGGTTGTTAAATTTGGAACTGCAAAGTCCTGGTTACCTTAGAGAGAGTATTGTTTTGATAAGTTTTTATTATTTCACTTTTGGGTTTGAGAAACATGAAACAGAAGTTTTTGACTTGTCTGGAACAGCACAGATTCCAGAAGGACTAACTCCAGCTCTGCCTGGTCCCTTTCCTCCTTCACTGGGGCCATTTACACAGTGTTAATTAAGCTAATTGAGATACTGCTAAAAAACTTACTCCAGCAGAATTCACTTCCTGAAATATTCAACCTTATTTTAGAGGGAAAAGTTTGTTTTTAGATAGAATGTTTACATTTTAGGTAGAGCACTGGCCTTAGAGTCAGCAGATGTGCATTCCAGCGCTGCTGCTCCTTAACCTCTCTGGGGCCCCCATTTCCTCTTCAGTTGAATTTGGGAGTTGGGCTAGATTATCTCTTAGGCTATGCTAAAATTATGATGTTAGTGACATTTGTCTCTTTTTTTCCGTTTGGTTTTGCTTTATTTTAATAGGTTCACCAAGTTGAAGAGTCTTAATCTTTCCAATAATCATTTAGGGGACTTCCCACTAGCAGTCTGCAGTATTCCAACCCTGGCAGAGCTGAATGTGTCCTGCAATGCCCTGCGATCGGTCCCAGCAGCCGTTGGAGTGATGCACAAGTGTGTACCTCAAACCCCACTGGCGGGTATATCCAGAAACCCCAGGGAAGCTGCACTGGGGGTGTAGCACATGAGATTAGTTAACTTGTTATGTTGGTCATGTAAGTCTTGGCCCCAAATCAACAGATCAGGGACTGTATAGTCTGTATGGAGTTCATGTGTTAGATTTGTATTCTTTACGATCTTGTAAAAAATTAAATATTCTTGTTTAGAACTGAAGATCCCTGCAAATGAGTATGTCTAAACATGGAATGTGGGTTATGTTCTCATTTTTCTGAGTTATATTGAATTCAAAGACTTAGAAATTAATTTTGAGAAATAATAAGGAAAGCCCAAAGGATATCTGAATCAATTTATATCACAGTTAGCTCATGTTGCTCCCATTTAAGCCTATTCAAATTGGGAAAGCTAGTCATAATTTTCATTTTCAATAAAAGATTAAGATGCTTATCTCTGATTATTTCTCTTTGGTCCGTTATTGCCTCAGGCCCTGCCCTTAGGCATTTTGCAAAGAGTAATACATTTTCTGGTAATATGATCTACACTATGGAACTTGTATGTTGATAATAAAGATGTAAAATTTATACATTCTCTTTGTAATTCTTATGTTTTCTCTAATAGCTTACAGACATTTTTGTTGGATGGAAACTTTCTCCAAACCCTTCCTGCTGAGTTGGAGAACATGAAGCAGCTTAGTTATCTGGGTCTTTCTTTCAATGAATTTACTGACATTCCAGAAGTATTGGAGAAATTGACTGCTGTGGATAAACTTTGTATGTCCGGAAACTGTATGGAGACCCTTAGGCTACAGGCTTTAAGAAAAATGCCTCACATTAAACATGTGGATCTAAGGTAACCATTTTTGAGAAATAGATCTCATTTGAGCTGCTGGCTTATATTGCAGGGGTGGGGAATAGGTTATTGACCAAGTCAAACAGGCTGGATAATTGAATGTGGACCCATTTTTCTATTTCTGCCTAGAGGGAAGAATTATGATTAATAGTAGGGTTTGCTGTTACTGGAGACTTTCTCACTGATGTATGTCTTGAAGGTCTTTGTTTTGCAAATTGGAACCCAGTTGAGTGAGAGAGCTATTTTTTGTTTTTGTTTTGTATTTTTTGTTGTTGTTGCTGTTTTTAAAGAGATAGGGCCTTGCTCTCTTGCCCCGCCTGGAGTGCAGTGATGCGTTCAGAGCTCACTTTAGCCTCAAACTCTTGGGCTCAGGTGATCTTCCTGCCTCAGCCTTCCAAATACTCAGGCGTGTTCAGTTTCATGAGTGTAAAGTAGCATCACCTTTTGCTCCCTTTCTTCTCCATTCGTATGGCTCAGCCAAGGAAACCCATACCTTCCAATCCCACAAAGAATTGCTTGGCTTCACCTTTCCTCAGAATAAAGGAATCAGACCTGTCCTTCCTAGGGAAGTATTAGCAATTTGCACATATAAAATTCTTAATTTGGAAGTTAAAGTAATTGTAATTTATCTGATTTTTGAGAATTTCTTGGAATGTAACAAGATAAGGAACTCTAAACACTTTGTTAACTTGCTTTCCAAATTGTTTACATTATTTGCCTCTGAGTTCCTTCTATTTAGAAAACCCTCATATTCCAGAATTTAAGCCCTATTTTATTCATCCACCAGTGGTAGAACTTCATTAGAGCCAAGGACAGTGGCTTGCACTGACCTCAGGTAACAAGAATGAGATGATTTCCGAGTTACCTGGTACATGAAGGAAGACATTTTTCTTGGTGTGAATTAGCTGACACGTAAGATCAATCTAAAATGTCTACAAGTAATAAATCTTAGAGCTTTATAAATTCTTAAGATTCGTAGTTCTAACTTGAGTGTTTTTAGATGACATCACCTACAGGATATTTAAATACCAGAATAGACATTAGACACTCTGTAAATGTTGCATGACCAGGAGTAACTGCTTCCTTCCTTGCCCCTGAGCTGAGGAGGGGAAAATCAGATCAGATTTGTTCTAATTCTGCCTTAATACTTTATTTGTTGTTTATTGTTTTTGTTTTTGCTTCTGTTTTTGTTTTTGTTTTTTGAGACAAGAGTCTCTGTCGCCCAGGCTGGAGTGCAGTGGCATGATCTCAGCTCACTGCAGCCTCCACCTCCTGGATTCAAGAGATTCTCCTCCCTCAGCCTCCTGAGTAGCTGGGATTACAGGTGCCTGCCACCACACCTGGCTAGTTTTTATATTTTTAGTAAAGACAGGTTTCACCATGTTGGCCAGGCTGGTCTTGAACTCCTGACCTCAGGTGATCCACCTGCCTCGACTTCTCAAAGTGCTGGAATTAAAGACATAAGCCACCACACCCAGCCTAATTCTGCCTTAATACTTAAAATCAAAGCTAGTGGAGTAATTTAAGGAGAGTCTCGCTTAGTTTCTCTAAGTAAAGGGCTACTTTTGTTGAGTTTTTTTTTTCCCCCCTTAATGGAAATGTTACATCAGATTAAGTGATTATTGTTTTCTTTGTATTGATATTCTTTGAGTTTCATATTATTTCTTCTGTGGCATCATTAATAATTCCTCCTCCCCTCTCCTCCTTCTCCTTCTCCTTCTCCTCTTTGTACAAAGTATGGCTGTTACTTGTTGGTCACTTCTCTTTCTCTCCATGTTTTCTGCCTTGGTGGTTGCATATACTCTCAGGTTTCATTTTCACCTTTCAACTTGATGTTAATCATTCCCCAGTCTTTCCCTATTCCTTCTTTGACTTCTTGAGACCAGTTCCACTTAAGCTGCTAGCTAGATAACGTCTTGGTTTTCCCTATTGACACATTTAACCAAATACACGTAAAACAGGGTTCAGTGTCTTTCTTACTCAACCAGTTCTTTCTCATGGATTTCTGTTTTTGCTGATAGCAACACCACCTCATTGGTCTTCCAGACACACAACTCTTGGCTGATTCTATCAGCTCTTCTTTTACACGAGTTTCTCTCTTTCATCGCTTCCTTTTTCTTCTCACTGTGACTGTTGTCTTCTGACTGAGCCATTTGCTTCCTTTGTGCAACCTCCCAAGCAAGCACAATTTTGCTCAGAGCCTGCGGTTCTCTACTTCAGGGTATTCAAGCCCTCATATTTGGTTTCAGCCCACTGGTATGTGAGTCCTTTGAGGATGAGGCTATATCTCTGAGCTGCTCATGTGTGAGCCTCCAACCTGTGGGTGGCAAGTGAACTATTCGCGACTTTTCCACAATGAGATGTGTACAGAAGTTGAGACTAATATTTTAGTAACGTATAATGATTTGACATTGCCACAATATCCAACTGCATTATGAGTTGATTCTTGTTGTACAGGGAATCAACTAGTATATTTTATTTTATTTATTATTGTTATTATTATTATTATTTTTTGAGACAGAATTTCGCTCTTGTTGTCCAGACTGGAGTACAGTGGTGCGATCTCGGCTCACTGCAACCTCTGCCTCCCAGATTCAAGCGATTTTCCTGCCTGAGCCTCCCAAGTAGCTGGAATTTCAGGCTCCCATCACCATGACCGGCTAATTTTTTGTAGTTTTAGTAGAGACAGGGTTTCACCATGTTAGCCAGGCTGGTCTTGAACTCCCGATCTCAAGTGATTCACCTGTCTCAGCCTCCCAAAGTGCTGGGATTACAGCCATGATCCACGGCACCTGACCTCAACTAATTTAGATGTTGTCAAACTTGCACAGTGAGTTGCATGTGGTGTGAGCTGCGTATGGGTTGAGTACTATATATCAGTCTGTCATGAATTACAACTTTAGAAAATAGGTCTCTTTCACCATAGATAATTTAAGCACTGTTTTTATTTATCCTTCAGCCCCAGTGTTAGTCCTTAGTGTGTCCAGTCCTTGGTAAATATTAATTGCCTCACCCACCTTTGTAGCCCAGAGCCTCACATCCCCTGCATTCCTGCAGAAACTATACAGGCAGGTACGAAACTTACCCTGTGCTGTTTTCTTTGATGCAGAGGCTGTTCCATTGCTTCCTCGCACCTGCTTTTCTTCTCCCATGAACACCTGTTCCATTCTGCCTACTCTTGGGAATCAGATGAGTTGCTTCCTTTTCCATAGCCTCTTTTTTTTTTTTAAACCATTCTCTACATTTTATACATCACCCATGGCACTTATCACATACTTGTATTTCCTGTATTTCCTAAAGCATATTTGACTCTCTTTACTAAATTGTGAAATCTGTTGAAAAACACCTTGTTTTATTCATCTCTTACTGCAACAAAGCCATAGGTCATCATTGTTGTCACCATCACCGTAGCCCTTCACAGGCTAGAGTGCAGTGGTACAAACATAGCTCACTATAGCCTCCATCTCCTGGACTTAAGTGATCTCCCTACCTCAGCCTCCCGTGTAGCTAGGATGACAAGTACACACTACCACACTTGGCTAATTTTTAAATTTTTTGGAGAGAGGGGCCTCACTTTGTTGCCTAGCTGGCTCAAACTCCTGGGCTCAAGCTGTTCTTCTGCCTCAGACTCCCCAGGTGCCGAGAATACAGGCATGAGTCACAATGCCTGGCCAGAAGGGAATTTTAGTCATATTTTGCCTCTTAAAAAGTTTGTCCGGGCCAGGCGTAGTGGCTCATGCCTATAATCTCAGCACTTTGGGAGGCTGAGGCAGGTGGATCACCTGAGGTCAGGAGTTCAAGACCAGCTGGCCAACATGGTGAAACCCCACCTCTACTAAAAATGCAAAAATTAGCTGGGCATAGTGGTGTGCACCTGTAGTCCCAACTATTCAGAAGGCTGAGGCAGAAGACTTGTTTGAACCCGGGAGGTAGAGGTTGCAGTGGGCCAAGATTGCACCGCTGTACTCCAGGCTGGGTGACAGAGCAAAAGACTTTGTCTTAAAATAAATAAATAAATAAATAAACAAATAAATAAATAGTTTGTCCTAGGTGACAGAGCAAGAGACTTTGTCTTAAAATAAATAAATAAATAAATAAATAAATAAATAAATAGTTTGTCCTAGTTATGTCATGGTGACTGTGGTCAACAATACATTGTATTTGTTTGTATTCTTGTTTTTTCTCTTTTTTTCCTTTTCTTTTCTTTTCTTCTTTTCTTTTCTTTTCTTTTCTTTTCTTTTCTCTTCTTTTCTTTCTTCTCTGAGACAGGGTCTCACTTTGTTACCCAAGCTGGAATGCAGTGGTGCAGTTACAGTTCACTACAGCCCCAAACTCCTGGGTTCGAGTGATCCTCCTGCCCCAGCCTCTCAAATAGCTGGGAGTATAAGCATGTGCCACCATGGCTGGCTAATTTTTTCTTTTTTGTAGAGATGGGGTCTTGCTCTGTTGCCCAGTCTGGTCTCAAACGAACCTCCTACTTCAGCCTCCCAAAGAGTTAGGATTACAGAGTTTGAGCTACCACACCATGCCATAATATATAGTATTCTTGAACAATGCTAAGAGTGGATGTAAAGTATTCTCACCACAAAAGTAATAACTATGTGAGATGGTGCACGTGAACTAGCTAGAATTAGTCATTTCACAGTGTACATATATTTCAAAAGTCATGCTGTACACAATAAATACGTACAGTTTTATCTGTCAATTAAACAAATAATAAAATGGTTCATCCTAAGTAGCTGAATTACTGTGTGAGCCTGAAAACTTGGTATTTCAGTCATGGTGAGAGTTAGCAACTTAAGCCAAATGTTAACTTTCCTTTTCGTTACATTAACTTTGTTTTTGTTATAGATTTTTTTTTGTCTCCTTATTAAACCAACGCTTATTATTTTAGTATTAATACATTAAATTGTGTTAATTGAATGAAATTGTGTGTGGCTTTTTCAAGTGAAGATGATAAAGCCATTTTGAAGGTTATTCGAAGTGTAGATTGGGAAGAAGATGGACCTTTGTTCCATTCCTGCAGTCTGTTGTACCCAAGATGAGATGTGTTTTTTCTTTTTCATTCTGTGTGCACATTCTAGTAATCTAGTGAGCATTTGGAAATAGGCAGATTGCTGGGTTAAGGCCAGTTTTTAAATCTTACAACCTGGAATAAAAAAAGAGAAGGAGCCAAAAAAACATCTTCTTAGGGACATTGGAAAAGGCCATATGCAATGCTTGTGTGTTGACGAATCCCAGCTCTTTGCTGGAACTCATCCTTGTGTTTCAGTGGCTTTAGGATATTATTCTCAATTCATTTTCCATAGCTTTATTTTATTTTTTTAAAGATAGGAATTCACTACAGAGAAACTACTTTTTCCTGTACTCCAGACTTAAATTAATACTCTTCTTTTTTTTGAGACGGAGTATCGCTCTGTCGCCCAGGCTAGAGTGCAGTGGCATGATCTTGGCTCACCACAACTTCCGCCTCCTGGGTTTAAGCAATTCTCCTGCCGCAGCCTCCCGAGTAACTGGGATTACAGGCGCGTGCCACCATGCCCAGCTAATTTTTAATACTTTTTTTTAGTAGAGATGGGGTTTCACTGTGCTGGCCAGGCTGGTCTCGAACTCGTGACCTCGTGAACCGCCCACCTAGGCCTCCCAAAGTGTTGGGATTACAGGCGTGAGCCACTGCGCCCATCCTATATTAATACTCTTCTAGTCAAGGTCATCATCTCAGCACTTTACTGGCTTTGTAATGGAAAGTAGATGGTTTTTGTTGTGTGTTTCTAAAGGAGTTAGACATAGCCTAACAAACTGGAAATTGACATTTCCATCTATTTTTCTCCCTTTTGAAGCTAAATATGTCTTTGTTATTTTGGTTCATAGTCCCCATTACTACTTATTTTCTGATAGCTCATCCACAGCAACTTCAGTCAGTTAACTCACTAGTTCTTATGGCTAGAGATTCTGCGAGTTTTCCGCTGTGCCTTGTTTCATCGTAGAGGTGTTGATTCCCATTTTTCTCTATCATTCTATGATTTCTCAATAGATCTTAGATACCGGATTTCAGGATTTTCTGCACTTCACTGTATCAAGCAGTATTTTATAGATGGAGGTAGTTTTGGTGGTTCTTCCTGGTCCTGAGCAGTTGGGAGTCATGTGCTTGCATTCCCATCTCTGGTGCTCCCATTCAGTGTGCAACTCTTATTTGTTATGTGACTCTGGTCCATTATTGTTTTTCCGCCGCAACCTTTAATTCCATCCTACTCATCCGCCTGCTCATGCATCCTCTCTCCTTCATTCAATATTCATTGTAATTGTAATGTGCATAACAGTTGTTCTGAGTTTTGTTTCTTACGTTCTTTTCGGTATGGTGTAGATAGTTTCACAGTTCTTTGGAAGTCAGTTCCTAGTTCTTTGGATGTCAATGCTTAAGTGGATTATTTTCCCCCTAGAAGTAAATTAAGGTCAAGTCAATGTGCTTATTCCTCTCCCAGCTGTAGTGGTGTCACTTGTGTTTCAGAATATATTGTGAAGGTTAAAACCTCCTGGAATTGTAGCTAAAAATAGATACTCTGGCTAGTTAAGCAAGGCCAGATGCTGATATTCCAAAAATCATGGAGAACTGTAGTACAGAGAGAATTGAGTTCTTTCTTGCTATCTCTCGTATTAGGGTGTTTAGCATTGCAGTTAATTGTAGTCTCTATTTATGTCCTTTTCCTTCAAGGTTGAACATAATTAGGAAGCTGATAGCAGATGAAGTGGACTTTCTACAGCATGTTACTCAGCTTGACCTACGAGACAATAAACTTGGTGATCTAGATGCCATGATTTTCAACAACATTGAAGTTTTACACTGTGAAAGGAATCAACTGGTCACATTAGACATCTGTGGCTATTTCCTAAAAGCACTCTATGCCTCTTCTAATGGTATGTATCATAGGCCACATCAAAGTTGCTCTTTTGGTTCCAAGAATTTACCCAGCATCATTATTTCTGCCTCTCTGATTGTTCTTTGCTCAAGTAGTTAGTAAAATAGCTCAAATTTTGTTAAAATAAAAGTCACAAAACAAAAATGCTGACTTACTATTTCAAGGAATCAAAAAGGAAGATTTTATTTTGCCTGTAAGTTACTCACACTTTTGATTTGGATTTTCTGCTTAAAGGAAGAGAGAAAAGAGAACTATTTTGTGGGCTACATTACCAAGATCTAGAGATCTTTACTACCTTATTACTAAATCTGGAACCTTTATTTAATACTGGAGAGTGAAAGGAAGTTTTATTTTGACTCCATTCAGGATTTCCAGTTTCATGTTTGACTAACAGAGAGCTCACCTTAAGATAAACCAGAATGAGCTGGGCATGGCGATGCATGCCTGTAGTCCCAGCTACTTGGGAATGGGAAGCTGAGGCAGGAGAATTGCTGGAGCCCAGGAGGTGGAGGCTGCCGTGGTCTGAGATCACACTACTGCACTCCAGCCTGGTTGACAGAGTGAGACCCTGTCTAAAAAAAAAAAAGAAAAGATAATTTAAAAAAGATAAACCAGAATGATATACCCACAAGGACACCATAAAGCAAGTCTTAATCATTTAATATTTCTTTCTAAGAATCTGAAAATCAGGGCAGTTCCAAAAAAGAAAAGGTAATATGGGCATATGTTTGCTAAGATGAAGGTTTCAATTCCCTGCAGTCATTAAACTGAATGAAAACAAGTGTTCACTACTGCACGTTGAACATATGTTTATCATGCACTTGTTTTATGCATAGTGTGGCTCACGAGCTCTGAAAGATGAAGGATTTTTCAAATATGATTACTGTTATCTCAGAAAAACAAGCCAAACCTCATATAGGTATATTTTCTAATGTAATCAGTTTAGCTGAGCACTGAAGGGTTATAGGATTTAGATAACCAGTGGGAATGAAGTAGGAAGAAAAAATCTGAATGTGGCTTGTTGGGCAGTTGGGAGAAGATAGGGAATTCTGAACCCACAGATGTAATTAGGAGAGGCATGCTTATAGTCAGATAGTGAAGCATTGGCCTTAGTATAATAAGCAACAGAGAACCGGTAAAGACTCTAAAGTGGAGGAGACATGATGGAAGTGATGCTTTAAGGTGGTTAATGTGAAAAGAGTGTGTACAGAATGCATTTATAGGAGAAGGTTGAGGGTAATCCACTACTCCACTAATCCAAGTTATTGTGATGGGCTTCATTTGGGCTAATGGGAACTCGTAGTCAGGATTACAGATGTTGATTTGAGACTCATCTGCTCAGAGGTGATACCTGAAACCAGGGAAGTAAGGTAACTGGAAGAGAGGAGAGTGCTAGTACCAAAGGTCTACTTACACACCCCTCACACTTAGCTGGAGCCAAACTGGGCAACCAGATAGGAGCTACACCTGTGAATTACTTGGTAACTGTTTAGAGAAGCAGAAGGACATTTACAAACTACTCTGCCCAAGAAACAAAGTTACAGGGGACAGTGGTGTCGTATTTCATAAAGTTTTGAGGAAGAGTTTCAGATTTAAGTAAAATAAGTCATTTGTGACCCACTGGAGTGCTGTTTCAGTAAGGTGATGAGGGCAAAAGACAAGAAGCATTATTTGGTTTTATGGAAGGACACTTGGGTTTTGAAAGGATGGCACTCGTGTTTAATCCTTCAGGTGTAATACAGCCTGCATAACAATAAGAGAGCAACAGTAAATGGATAGAAAAGAGGTAGGAAATTAGAATGCGTGATTTATTTCAATCTCTGAAGAAGATCTTGTGATTAAAAGTTCTTTTTTACTTTTCTGTACTTTTAAAGTTGAACAAATGATGTATTGTACTTCCTAAACTAAACAAACAATAGAGAATAAAGCACAGTAATGATGTGCCACATACAAAAAGAGTCTCTGTCATTTGGATAGTAATGTCTTTGTGGTTTTTTTTTCCTTTCTAGAACTTGTTCAACTTGATGTTTACCCAGTTCCAAATTATCTGTCCTACATGGATGTTTCAAGGTAAGAAGTCAAGTCTTAGAGCCCTCTAGAGTCTACTAGAAAATTATTTAGTAATTCTAACTGAGCTTATGCACAAGTACTTTTTAATATTTTGAAAGTAAATGATAAAAAATTAATGATTTTTACTTTATTCTCTAAAATTATATATATTTGTTGATTAAAATACATTTGTAGCTCAAACCAGAGCATCAAAGTGTCAGTGTGCACACCAATTTGAACACCAGATTTGGACTTGAAAGGTGAGTGAGTTGAGGGCCATATGGCTTAAAGCTCTAATAACTCTTTTCATTATATGAATCATATTTTTGTGTCTTTCCCTGAAGTAATGTTAATTTTATTTTTTATTTTCAAAATTTTTTTTATTTTTTTAAACTCTGCCAAGTCTTAGGATAATTTAATTTTTTAAGTGCTTTATTTCTTTTGATTTCTTTTCCCCCTTGTTTAGACATATATCTTTTTGCTAAGAATTCTTAGAAAATAGTGACAAAGCCTATCAAAGTAGAAATTCTATACAACCTGCTTGGTTTTCTTAGCTTCTTTTTGAATATGCTAACCATTTTACCTTCTATGGTAATTTGCTTCTGCGGTATATTATATTTATTGCAGTTACCACAAATATTATAGTAGACTTTTTCTTAAAGGCACAAAGACTTGACAGTGTCTACAGTATGTATTTATACGAAGTAAACTTAAAAATTTTTAACAATGAATTATAAAATTGAAACTCATTTTGAAGGTAATTCCAAAGAAGATACACAAAAATGTTCTAAACATAGGGAGTTTGTGGTTCACTCAAGGTGACAACTGTTAACTCATTTCAGTGCTTAAATTCTGGTGTGTTTATTAACAGTCACCATGCTTTTTAATCACAACTATTGTATGATTTGTCTTGTACAGAATTTTGCCTTTTGTCTTGAGATTACACAGGCTTAGCTATTTTAATAATATACTGAATCACAATTATGCAAGACATGTCAGTATTTGGTTATTGGGAAAATATTACAGTTAAATTTTTATTATAAATATATAACTATAAAATCATAAAGCTCTTTGAGTAGTGCTTCTTGCATTTCCTAACAACTACCCATCAGACAATTTTATTTAATTAACTTAAATCAGACATTACCTAGTTTTCTTTCCCCACCTACTCCTCCCAACCCCCCAGCAACCCTGAATGTTATTTTCACATTTTGAATAAGAGCAGTATAGGAACAGTATAGGAATGGGATTTGCGTACATGGGTGCATATAAATATCTTGAACAGATTTCTTTTCTTTTCTTTTCTTTTCTTTGAGATGGAGTCTTGCTCTGTTGCCCAGGCGGGAGTGCAGTGGTGCAATCTTGGCTTACTACAACCTCTACTTCCTGGGTTCAAATGATTCTCCTGCTCCAACCTCCTGAGCAGCTGGGATTACAGGCACACACCACCACGCCTGGCTAATTTTTTTGTATTTTTGTAGAGATGGGATTTCACCACATTGGCCAGGCTGGTCTGGAACTCCTGACCTCAAGTGGAGTGCAATGGTGCGATGTTGGCTTACTGCAACCTCCCCCTCCCGGGTTCAAGCAATTCTCGTGCCTTAGCCTCCCGAGTAGCTGGGATTACAGGCATGTGCCACCACACCAAGCTAATTTTTGTATTTTTTAAGTAGAGACAGGGTTTCACGATGTTGGTCAGGCTTGTCTCAAACTCCTGACCTCTGGTGATCTGCTGGCCTCGGCCTCCCAAAATGCTGGAATTACAGGCTTGAGCTACCACGCCCCGCCTAGTTCTCTTTTTTATAGTAACTGTAATTACCATCTAGTGCCCAAGTAAATGTTTTTAATTAATTAATTCTTCGAGTTAACTGTTAGTGAACTTTTCATTGCCACCATTTTAAAACTATTTCTCTCCCTTCCCATTTATCCATGGCTATATTTTCATGATGACAGCTGGAGTTGGGAAATATTTTAATATTAAGGGAAAAAATATAAATTTGAAATTAAAACTGTGATATGCCATTTGACTTTGTGTGTTTTTATTTTCAATAGAACACATATTCTCCCTAAAATTGGCATAGGTCTGTAGACCCTTTAGGAAAGTCAATTTGGAGCCAGGCTTTTTTTTTTCAAGACTTTAGAGATGATACAGATTATGTAACTATGTCCTTCCTTCTTTTTAAAAAATTTAACTTTTTTTAGAGATAGGATCTCGCTCTGTCACCCAGGTTGGAGTGCAGCGATGAGATCATAGCTCACTGTAAACCTCGAACTCCTCTACTCCAGCAGTCCTCCCACTGTAGCCTTTTGAGTAGCTGGGACTAGTGGTGCATGCCACCATGAGCAGCTAATTTTTTATGTTTTGTAGCAATGGGGTCTCGCTATGTTGCCCAGGCTGATCTTGAACTCTTGGACACAGCGATCCTCCCATAGGCGTGAGCTACTGTGCTCTGCCTATTCCTTACTTTTTCTTTATTTCTTCTCCCTATCACAATTCTTCTTACTTCTGGAGAAAAGCGAATCCACATATTCTTTCGATTTATGCCCACGGTACTTTGGTATTTCATTTAAGGTTTTACTTATTCTTTGTAATAATTTGAGTTTAGAACCACTTTTGAGGCCAAATTCAACCAAACATTTTTATGTTCTTGCATTTAGGAACCGCTTAGAAAATGTGCCTGAGTGGGTATGTGAAAGCCGAAAGCTAGAAGTTTTGGATATTGGCCATAATCAAATATGTGAACTTCCTGCCCGGTGAGTATTGCAGATCAAATGAGAGGATCTCACAATAGATGAGCAATTTAAAAAATTGCTGATTCGATGTTTAACTTGGTATCATAAGCCTAAAAGAGTTTGCTTTAAAAACGAATATGGTATCTTTTACCCCGTGTGGTGTCTTCAAGTTACAAACTTTCTTCATGCAGTGCAGTGAGGAGTAGAGTGAGGCTTTGACTCTCAGCCAGACTTTTCAAAACCGTGCAGGCAGTTGTGCTTGGTGGAAATTTTTAAGTAAGCCAAAAACAATCTTTGAAGCAAACAATGTGATTAGCCCTCTTCTGGGATCTTAAGTCTTTCAGAATCTTCCACCTCTGTTCATTGACTTAATATGTCTACTTTAAACATAAATACCTTTTGTTCTCCCTAGACCTTAACTTTGAGGGGGAAATAAGATGGTTAGGTCATGAAACCTAGAAAGAGCAGACTAGACTAGATCCTCTTTTTCTTGTTGTGAAATTTGGGAGTAGAAGGTTCAAGAACTTCTCACTCTTAAATATGTTCTTATTTTTATTTTATAATTTTCACTTTAATGGCAAGATTTGCAAAACAGCCACATGATGACTTCTATTGTCTGTAAATATAGACAGATATTTTCAAGTTGACTAATCATGGTCAAAATATTAGTGAATTTTTAGTGACTAGCCATGCAGTTAGTAACCCTAAGAGTCTATTCAGTGCTGTCCTGTAGAACTTTCTGTGATGATTGAAGTGCTCTGTATCTGTGCTGCCCAGTATAGTATCCACTGGCCATATGTGGCTATTGAGCACTTGCATTGTGGCTAATGTAACTGAGGAACTGAATTTTGTGTATTCGTTAATTCCAATTAACTTAAATTCATATAGTTACTTGTGGTTGCCTCAACTCAGGTCTTACTATTTCCACCATTCTCAGCCAATCACTGAACAGAGGAAGTCAGTTATTTTTAGCTGTGTATAGTCAAAAACATCAGTGAAAATACTGTAGAAGTATGTTACCATTTTGGAGTAAACTAAGTGCACAGTCTTTAAAGGTATGTGATCACCATTCCTGTTTCCTTACCAAGAAGATACACTTGCTTGGTAAGCCTAGTAAACATGTTAGAGTTCAGCTGTTCAGTATGGTAGCCCCCAGCCAGCCATTAGCCAAGTGACTGTTGAGCACCTGAAATGTGACTTGTCCTAATTGGAAGTGCTGTAAGTGTAAAATATACATGGAATGTAAAATCATAATAGTGTACATTAATTACGTGTTAAGTTAATATTTGGGGTATATTCTGGGTTAAATGAAATAATACTCTGAGAATTCATTTACTTGTTCTTTTTTTTTTCTTTTAATGTGGCTACTAGATAATTTAAGATTACATGTGGCTTACATTTGATAACACTGTGTTAGAATGTAGCTCTTATTAAAGAAATCTGAGTTATATTTTCATCCCTGAAAAGCTCTGTTAATTTCATTATGTTCCCCAGCAATACATTATACCTGTAAATATGATCCATTTGAAAGTGCTTTCTGCCCTAGAATATTATGTTGACTGACCATTTAGGTGACCCGTTGCAGCCATCACTATTAACAAGAGGGGATTTTTTTTTTTGTGTGTGTGTGTGTGTGTGTGTGTGTGTGTGTGTGTGTGTGTGTCCATGCATGGCCCTTTTAGTAAAAGAACAGGAAAAACGAAAACAGTAGGGAAAAAAATAATTTATTGAAAAAAATTTTCTACCTTATCTTCTATTTTCTTTCTGTCTTTCCTTCTTTTCTTTTATTTATTTTTTCTTTTTTTTGAGACAGAGTCACGATCCTGACTCACTGCAATCTCTGCCACCCGGGTTCAAGCAATTCTTGTGCCTCAGCCTCCCGAGTAACTGGGACTACAGGCATGTGCCACCACGCCTGGCTAATTTTTGTATTTTTAGTAGAGACGGGGTTTCACTGTGTTGACCAGGCTGTTCTTGAACTCCTGACCTCAGGTGATCCGCCTGCCTCAGCCTCCCAAAGTGCTGGGATTATAGCCATGAGCCACTGCACCTGGCCTTTTCTTCTATTTTCTCTGTTCTCTTCCCCCCTTTCACCCCTCAGTCCCACAGATAGCACATTGGCATCCAAGTTCTCTTTTGCTGAAGGCTACAAAGATATATATATTTTTTATATTTGTATATATTATACATTAATGTATATTTATATTTTATATATATAAACAAACAAATGCAAGATAACTGACATTGTATCCAATTTTTCCCCCCAGATTTGTTGATCTAATTTGTTCTGCGTCAGAACAGGCTTTTTGAGAATCTAAACAAATGCTTATTCAATGCAAATCCCAAATGCTCTATTGTTATTGTATTCTTGTGTGTGTGTGTGTTTAACACATGGAACAAAAAGAGTGTGCATTGTTTTTCTGTTTATAGTGTTGTTCAGTTGCAAACTCTGTATAAGCCCTGTTGTTGATGTAATAGGCAAGACTGGGTACCGTGGCTCTTGATCTAGTCCCAGCACATTGGGAGGCCAAGGCAGGAAGATTGCTTGAGCCCAGGAGTTCAAGACCAGCCTGGGCAATACTGCAAGACCCTATCTCTACAAAAAATAAAATTAGCCAGACATGGTGGTGTGTGCCTGTAGTCTCAGCTATTTGGAAGACTTGAGGCAGGAGGATTGCTTGAGCCTAGGAGGTCGAGGTTACAGTAACGTGTGATTGCATCACTGCACTCCAGCGTGAGCAATGGAACTGAGACGCTGCCTCTTAAAAAGAAAAAAAAAAAAATTCAGGCAAGACAATGGTTAATTAAAATTGATTTAATACTCATACTTTGTCCAAGTAAGGTATATGAAGAGTTTGACAGGGCCGGGTGTGGTGGCTCATGCCTGTAATCCTAGCACATGGGGAGGCCAAGGCGGGCAGATCACCTGAGGTCAGCAGTTCAAGACCAGCCTGACCAACATGGTGAAACCCTGTCTCTACTAAAAAATACAAAAATTAGCTGGGCGTGGTGGCACATGCCTATAGTCCCAGCTACTCTGGAGGCTGAGGCAGGAGAATCACTTGAACCCAGGAGGTGGAGGTTGCAGTGAGCCAAGATTGTGCCATTGCACTCCAGCCTCAGTGACAGAGCGATAGAGAAAAAAAAAAAAAAAAGAGTTTGACAAAAGAGAAATTATTAGAGGCAGAAATGTATTAAAAAGGAAAGAAAGTATTTTAATGTTTAGACAGTACCCAAAAGAATTGAACTAAACCAAATAATTAGCATTCAATACTCATCCTATAGTTGATCTTTTTTATTTGGAAAAATCAAGATAAAAGATTTTGTCACCTTTTAGTTATTTATGTGGTAAAGGATACGTATATATATATATGACGAACCACATGCTGAAATAATAGGCTGGAGTGACCATTACAGAGACTGCCCTATGGTAATGGTAACTGCATAGATAATCTGGCCCGGATAATCTGTCTTGTCACACTAATATCTAAACCTGCCAACTTAGATATCTTTAATTGGGGCCTGTGGTGTCACAGCATTGAGACAGGTTGCTAGCATCTTTGTGAGCAAAGAAACTCCATTTGCTATTTAAAGTGAATAAAGTTATGCCCTAATGTTACGGGAATTTTTAACTCTTGTGGATTGAAGGATACAAAATTTGGATTAGACAAGAAGAGTAAGTTCAGGAGACCTATTGTGCAGCATTTTAACTACAGTTAATAACAATGTCTTGTATTCTTGAAAATAGCTAAGGGAGTAGATTTAAATGTTCTCACCACAAAAAAAAATGATAAATATGTGAAGTAATGCATATGATAATTAGCTTGATTTAGCCATCCCACAATGTATACATATATTAAAACATGTTTTACACCGTAAATGTATGCTAATTTTTGTCAACTAAAAATTAATTTTAAAAAATTGTGGGCATTCATGAGTGAGATCAGAATGGTGGAAAACAGGAGGTGGATGAGGAAGCCTCATTCTTTGACAGCAGATTAATCAATTAATTCTTAATTTATCAATTAGGCAGATTGATAAATTCTTAATCTAAAGTGATCAGGATGCAAATTGTAACCTCACTTTTCCCCACCCCTGAGATGTCTGTTTAAACCCAGGGCCTGTTTTATTCTCTGTCATGTTAGGGAAGTCTGAAGTGGTCATAATGTAGATTTACATTAGATTAACAAGTATTCATCATCTCTGACAGTTCTGATGACCTTCACAAGAAACACAGCCAAGCTTCCAAATGGCTCTTTAAGTCTCTCAAGAAAATAGTGGATTAAGTACATGCTGCTCTTTCAGGAGGGAGTCTCTACCTTGGTCTAGGATTAAGCTAGAAAAAAACAGAGACATACAGCCAGGGAAGTGAGGCAAAGAAGAAACAATTAGGATTGTGAAATGCAACTGAGGAAAGACATAACATTTTCTCAGTTGACATTTGTAAAAGTTTGATTGAATAACCCTTTATTTAATGCAGATCCTATAAGTAAAGACTGCTCAGCTGTGTTTATTCAGAATCTCTTATGGGTAAAGCACCCAGCATTCTGGGACAATACAAGATACAAGCCCCACTCTGGAGAAGCATGCAGCCTTTTGAAGTTTGCCTTGTGACCCTGACAAGATTAGACTGATCCCTTCAGTGGCTCCATCTGTAGAACTTGCTTTTTGCTATGTAGAGCTTCTTTGCTCAGTATCTGTTTACATAGTTTTTTCCTTCCTCCTTTTCTTGAGTATAGAAAGTATTGAAACACAAATAGTTCCAAGTTTGAATTTATATTAAAATGAATTTGTAGTTGCTCCAAATGAATTTGTGATTTTTGGAGAGATAATTTTAAGTATTCTACTCTTTTTCATTTTTCGGTCTTTTGTCCCTTTTTATACAGCTTATTTTGTAACAGCAGTCTCCGGAAACTACTGGCAGGGCACAACCAGTTGGCAAGGCTTCCTGAAAGGCTAGAAAGAACCTCGGTGGAGGTCTTGGATGTGCAACACAACCAGCTCCTTGAGCTCCCGCCTAACCTTCTGATGAAGGCTGACAGGTAAAGCCGTTTGTCTTGTTTATCATCTGAGTCTATAAATACTCCCTCATTTGTATCTTTGTCTTTTGTGACCTGAGACTGTATGAGCTTTCTGATTATGTGTCTGTCCCAGGTTTGTGAAGGAAATAGTTTTGCCAGCCACTTTACTGACCATTTTGTAGGCAATGGAGTCAGGAGCAACCTATAGATTCTTTATTAACTTTGCTGCTCTCTGGAACAAAGTAGGTTACATTGTCCATACATGTGTCATGGGGATGTAGGTGTAAAACAAGGATGAGAAGTGTGCTCCTGTGTTACTACCTGGTCACATTCCATGCCAGGCTTAGCTTAATTATCTTATGATTCTCTGTTCCTACTTTCACATGTTTGGGACTTTGGGAGATGGAGATGAATTGTCCTAGAGTTAGCTTAGTTATTGTTTTTGGTTTTTTGATTTTTTGAGACAGAGTCTCACTGTGTTGCTTAGGCTGAAGTGTAGTGGTATGGTCTCGACTCATTGGAACTTCTGCCTCCCGGGTTCAAGCGATTCTCCTGCCTCAGCCTCCCAAGTAGCTGGGACTACAGGCATGTGCCACCATGCCCAACTAATTTTTTTGTATTTTTAGTAGAGATGGGGTTTTGCCATGTTGGCCAGGCTGGTTTCGAACTCCTGGCCTCAAGCGACCCACCTTGGCCACCCAAAATACTGAGATTACAGGTGCGAGCCACTGTGCCCAGCACTTACTGTTTTTTAATCAGTCCTTCTTATCTTTACCATAGTTAACTCCATATTCAATTCAATTATTTTGTTTTGAAAAAGCAAAATTTTCCTAAATTACTTGTATCATACACTTTAAGCATTTGAAGAAGTTGTTTTGAATGGGAGGGAGAGGTTAATTTCAACATTAAATGAAGCTCTGTTATTTTGTTGTGATAAGTTGCCACATACAGAATTTTCTTTAAAGAAAGCTTTAAGTAACAGTGGCTGTTAACTTACTTTGGAGCATCTTGTTTGCTTCAGAACCCATGTGCATCATTCTAAAACATTTCATAGGCTGATAGCCTGAGTTATTTTGACTTCTGCTCCCATGTTTATTTTTAGGGAGTGACCATTACTTTAGAGACAATATGAAGGATCTAACTTTTAGTGTATCTCATAATGAAGACAAAAATGTTAAATTTAATTTTGCTTCTAGAAGTGCAGAGAAAAGAAGGAAATGATGACGGATCTTTTTACCTTACAAAATAAATGTTAGCTGTGTTTCAGCATGTGTCATATTATGTGGGTGAAATGGCCATCTGCAATCTCTGGCTCTCCTAAGCTGAATTAGATTTGCCACTGCATGTGCCTAACTCCCTGAGCTTACTCCTATCATAATAGCCATCACACACTGTATTGTAATTTCTCGTTCACTTGTCTCTCTCCATTATTAGATTACTAACATGCGGCCAATGACTGTGTCTTAATTATAGTTTTATCATCAACATCTTACAGTGTCTAGAATAAAGGAAAGTGCTCAAAAAATATTTGTGTAATAAATGATAGAGAATTTAAGGAATTTCAATTCCAGGCTTTATATTTTTTTCTTCCTCATCTTTTCCATAAATCTTTAATAAGATTAAAAAAAATCTTACTACAAAAATATGACTTATATTCAGTAAAGTGTCCAACTTTTAAGTGTACTGCTCAATGAATTTTTACATATTTATAGAAATAGTTGCAGG